GTCAAATAATTCGAAAAAAGAAACGAAGAATTTTCCAATTCTGTGAAATGAAAGTAATGAAAGCACATGCACAGATATACACGCATCATATATATATATATATATATATATATATATATATATATATACATATACATACATGGAGACTGCAGTGTGCTTTTAAATTAAGTTTCGAGTAATTAAATATATAAATCAGCAGAAAGATCAATCTCCTTACTACATACTAGCACCACTATATATATATATATATATATATATATATATATATATATATATGTTTGTGTGTGTGCGTAAATAATGTGGATGAGGTTTATGTTGTGTTCTTTATGTAATTACTCTTAATTAAATTCAAATCAAGTTTTATATATATATATATTTTATATATATATATATATATATATATATATATATATATATATATTTTTTTCTGTTTATACGTTATTTTATTTTTATTTTTTTCGTTTTTTAATTAAACAGTATTAATTATATTTACCGGCCTGAATTTACCTAAGGAAATTATATCTATTAAAAACACGGATAAACAGAATAATACATTAACACACACACACACACACACACACACACACACATATATATATATATATATATATATATATATATATATATATATATATATAGGGTGGTTTGTATGCGGTAAGGAGATCGATCTTTCTCTCTGTTTTATGTTTTATTATTGAAAACTTAATTTAAATCTATTAAAATAACGTATTAGAAAATATAGTAAATAATATATGGCCACTCGTATTAGAGGATATCTGTCTATTAGGGCGTCTAGCCAATCCCTATTGCAGACCCTTGCTCGGGCACAGAGCCAACCTGTAGTTTATACTGCAACTATGCTGAGCAGACCTTACTTGCAGTTTCTGGGAAAGAGTGTGTTATCTAGTTTGATCAACAATTTAATCATGTCAGCACGCTCGGGACATCGGCAACGATGACTTGTGGCTTCGTGTTAGCACAGCTATCGACGGCCTACAAGAGTTCCTTCTACCCACTTTCACTCACAAAGCTTGGGTCAACCCGTGGGATGGTTTGCAAGCACTTTCCAAAGAGACCGTACGCTGGGATCGACCTCGATTTATTTTGATATTATCAGGAAGTCTCCTTCCTGATAAATCGTCTGTGGCGAGATTCGGTCCAGATTATATATTGTTAAGGGGTCCACCCCTTTTTAATACAAGTGGACTCGCCCAGTGTGTACTTGCTGCCGGTGAAGTGCGATACAGAGTGATACAGGAAGGCAGTGAGAGAGTGAGAGATTGAGAGTGTGAGGTAACCGCTTTGTAGGAGTCACAGTTGCGAGCACGTAGACTAAGAAGGAAGTCCTACTTCGATACTGAATTTCCCAGACTGTATATATATTATTATTGCTACTAACCGCATTTCTGGATCTACTAACCGTATTACCAATTGTATTATTACGTCAATACATTTATTTGCTATATTTCATTCCTGCGTTTGTCATTCATTTGAGACTGGATTTCATCCCGGAATCTACAACATCACCGGTAAATCTGTACTAATGTCGGTTGTAATTTAAAAATAAAACAATTCTCTTCAAACAATTTTTTCAGGTATATAGGGTCCCCAATTTATGTAAATTATTGTCAGATCCAGTGTATTTGTAAAGGAACACAATGAATAAAAAGACAAGAGGAAAAACTATTCTTAACCGACGCGTTTCGTCCTCTGAGGCAGGGGTCGGCAACCCATGCTACGCATGCCACGTGTGGCACGCCAAGCAATTTCCAATGGCACGCAGCCGCAAATGACATTATAAAGCCCGAACCAATAACTACTACAAATGCAAAGAAGATATTTAGCTGTTTCAATTTTAATATATACTAAAGTATTATTACTATCTAAAATATATTGTAGAACAGGTACAGGATGTATCAAAAAAATTGATATCCTTTGAGATGTAAATATCACAGAAAATACATGATTAAGGCAAATGAAATTAAAAAGTATTAATGTTGAAGATCATAAGATTTATTCTTCCAAATCTGAATGAGAAATTCAAAAGCATGTGGATTATGTGAACGATTTCACAAATGTGAAGTTTGTGGTCGTCCGGATCCTTTTGCTCTGCACAGACAGCCTTCCTCTTTGAACTTTTTATGCCATCTTCAAATCTGCATTCCTGTTGGTGACTTTCTAGAGAACTCTCTCTTAAATGCACGCTGAAGTCTTGTTTGACTATGTTCTAGCAAACTCCAACACACAAAACGCCTTTTCTCTTCTAGTAAATAGCATTTTTATTCCTGTAAAGAAAAAGATTAAAGATTAAAGAACATAAAAATACAAATAAGAAAAACACAAAAACATAAAGACATAAAAACATAAAACAAACATTAAACATAAAGATGCTATTAAAATTTGAAGTCATTTGAAGGAGATCTAACAAAGTTATTAGATTGCGAAATGATATCAAATTTTTTGAAACACCCTGTATATTGACCTTGTATAAAAATACGTATGCTGTTGGCCCACTGAATGATTTTAAAACTCTAAGTCGGCACATCCCGATGTTGATTTGGAGACCCGGATCTTCAACACTAATGTCAACTAAGTCGTACTTTAAGGCGCAGAAACCTGGCGAGAACCAAGACCAACATCCACAAACTTCACGCATTTACCAACCGATATCTCAGGAACATCCTTAATATCAAATGACCGGAAGTCGTCTCCAATTACCAACGGTAGGACAGGACCAGATAAGCCCCAATCGAGATTGAGATCAAGAAATGGAAATAAGGTGATGGATCGGCCACACATTTCTAGTGTCACCAGGCAGACCCTCGACGGGAATCCACAAGGGAAGTTGGTCGGCCAAAACACAGAAGTGTTGAGGCAGAGGTGAAAGCAGTCGGCACGATATGGTCCAAGCTGAAGAGTATCGCCCCGAACCGCATCCGTTGGGGAGGTATTATTGCTGCCCTATGTTCATCAAGGAATCAAGATGCATAAAGAAGAAGTCGGCACATAGCAAAAGGTTTCCGACTCCTGCTCTTTAGAAAAAGAGTAATTTTACAGTTTGGGTTCAGAAGAAGATTAACGGTACAGTTTTGATTTACAAGAAGATTAACTCTACAGTTTTGGTCTAGAAGAGGAGTAACGGTAGAGTTTTGGTTCAGCAGATTAACTGTACAGATTTGGTTTAGGAGAAGATTACCTGCAGAATTTTGGGTTTAGAAGAGGATTAGCGGTACAGTTTGGGCTCAGAAGATTAACGGTACAGTTTTGATTTACAAAAAGATTACCTGTATAGTTTTTGTATAGAAGAAGAATAACGGTACAGTTTTGGTTCAGAAGATTAACGAAACAGATTTAGAAGATTACCTGTAGAGTTTGAGTTTAGAAGAGGATTAGCGGTATAGTTTGGGTTCAGAAGAAGATTAACGGTACAGGTTTGGTTTAGAAGAAGATTAGCTATACAGATTTGATTTAGAATAAAATTTACAGTACAGTTTTGTTTTACAAGAAGATTAACTGTACAGATTTGGTTTTGAAGATTAACGGTGCGGATTTGCTTTAACAAAAGATTAACTTTACAGTTTGTTTTTTTTTATTTAAAAAGGAATTATTTCTGCTATTTTGTAGAAAAGCAGAACATGACTGATTTTAAATCAAGGCAAATGCAGGATTTCCTTTTGTTCCCAAGCCAATATACACGACTACATAAATGTTAAAATTTCAAAAGAAAAAGGTTAAATCTTTCTGAAAATGTAGATCACATAGATCCATCGCAAACCCCAGCAATCTGATTACAATTTAAAGAGCATTCATTTATTAAGAAAAACAGTCTTGACAATTCCTCGCTTTTTTTGTCTTACCAAACTTTGAAATATAGCACTGTGTCTTCCACATGTTTTGCAAAAGGTCCCTCCCGCTATATTTTTTCGTAATATGATTGAGACGAGGTCTTTGTTCTTTCTTGCTTGATTGTGTAACAATAATTTCTTTTCATATAATAATGAAACATGGAACTGGCATAATTAGATCGCTGCTGGATTTAAAGAACGAATGTTGATTAATAGTTAAACAGGTGTTTTTCATATTTTCTCCAAGTCAGAAATAGTCACCTTATCGAAAGGATATTCACTTATTTTAAGTGTCGAATCTCTTTAAGATATATGCGATCAACATTCTCCCCAACTTCCTTTCTTTTGTAGCACTTGGTGTCATCAATATATTGATTTGTTTTCTATGGTTTTGCAACCTTTTGCAGGTAATTTAAAGCCAGAAAATATTTGCAGTTTATAAGAATTATTTTTGGTGGGTAATAATGATTTAGTGTTAGAAATCTTATTAATAAACTAATAAATGTGGGAGAAGAGGTGGTTTCATGCCTTTTCCAAGGATAATTGCGCCTAAGTGAATATAACAAGCCCAATTGGAATTGGAACTTGGTTCTCCCACTAACAATTCCAAGCCATTATCTATTACATCACTTGCATATCCAAGCTTACAGCAGCTTGTATTCCCAAGCAGTCACCTATCATGGTACTGACCAGCCTTGATGTTTCTTAACTTTGGTGGTTGTATGAGAACTGGTCTTTAAATATGATGTAACCATAAACCAAACAAAAGGTTAGGAAGGAAACTTTCCCAAGAATATCTGCACATAAGTGAATATAACGAACCCAACTGGAATTGGAACTCAGTTCTTCGATTGACAATTCCAAGCCATTATCCATTACATCACTTGCATATCCAAGCTTACAGCAGCTTGTATTCCCAAGCAGTCACCTATCATGGTACTGACCAGCCTTGATGTTTCTTAACTTTGGTGGTTGTATGAGAACTGGTCTTTCAATATAATGTAACCATAAACCAAACAAAAGGTTAGGAAGGAAACTTTCCCAAGAATATCTGCACATAAGTGAATATAACGAAACCAACTGGAATTGGAACTCGGTTCTTCGATTGACAATTCTGTACCATTATCCATTATACCAGCCTCAAATCTAAGCTTGAAGTACCTGTTATTCGCAAGTGGTCACCAATCGAGGTATTACTCATGCTCGACGTTGCTTAGCATCTGTGAGCATACGGGATCCGGTATTTTCAACATGACGCGGCCGTAAAATTTGTAGCTCTTGCAAAAAAAAAATGTTCATTTTCTATTTCTCCTACCATTTCATTTGTACCCCTTTGCTCAGTCTCGTTAAGCAGGTTACCCGATGTTTCACTTTGCCTTTCTTGCTTTCAGTGTCTTATGGGTTTTAAATTTTCCAAGCCTTCTTACCTCATCAAAAATTTCAATCACTTTCTTGTTGTGCTGATGTTCTTGTTCCCAAATCCACCCTGACCCGGTGTGGCACCACCTTTTCGGGACCCAGCTATAGGCAAATAGTGAACGCTCAAACTGGTAACAAAACAACAAAATATAAAAATTACTACCAATACATTTTCATAGTAATAAAACAATTACTAGCAATAAAAGTTACTAGCAATTACTATAAAATTGGAAAAAAAACTTACTATAAATATATATTTTTCGGAAAAAATTTACCAAATATTATAAAATAATATTTCGGTATTAAATATCCTTAAAGAGGTTATAAAGCTGTAAAAGAAACGAAACTAAAACGAAAATTTCTGGTTTTGTTTCCATTTCCTTAAAACTTTCTTGGTCAAGGTTAGGGTTAGGGTTAGGGTTAGTATCGTCGCCAACACAATTCTTGGTATTCTTCGCTAGAATCATATCTATGCTGCTTTTCATCTACGAAGAAAATTGTCCAGCATTCACTGCCATATAGGAGATTAGATATTACATAGCAGTTCAGCACTTTTCTTTATTTCTAAAGACATTTTCCTATCTCTTAATACTTTGCTTAGTTTAGGAAAGGTATGAGGAGATTGTCCAACATTCACTGACATATAGGAGATTAGATATTACATAGCAGTTCAGCATTCTTTTCTTTGTTTCTAAAGACATTTTCCTATCTCTTAATACTTTGCTTAGTTTATGAAAGGCATGAGAATATTGTCCAGCATTCACTGCCATATAGGAGATTAGATATTACATAGCAGTTCAGCATTCTTTTCTTTATTTCTAAAGACATTTTCCTATCTCTTAATACTTTGCTTTGTTTATGAAAGGCATGAATAGATTGTCCAGCATTCACTGCCATATAGGAGATTAGATATTATATAGCAGTTCACCACTCTTTTCTTTCTTTCTAATGACATTTTTCTATCTCTTAATACTTTGCTTGGTTTATGAAAGGCATGAGTTTATCCAGCATTCCATACCATATAGGAGATTGGATATTACATAGCAGTTCAGCACTCTGTTATTTGTTTATAACGACAATTTCTCATCTCTTAATACTTTGCTTAGTTTATGAAAGGTATGATGAGATTGTCCAGCATTCACTACCATTTAGGAGATTAAATATTACATAGCAGTTAAACACTCTTTTCTTTGTTTCTAACGACAATTTCCTGTCTCTTAATACTTTGCTTAGTTTCTATGGACCACTTTCTACCTATTAAGACTTTGCTTAGTTTATGAAAGGCATGCGGATATTGTTCAGCATTCATTCCTATACAGGAGATTGTGTTCCTTTCGTAGTTTCTAACGATTTTTTGTGTTTCTTTATCATCATTATCATCCTTGGAAGTCCCCATTGTTAGTCGGAACGTCAATGACAATCTCTTCCCCACTGTTCGGTTCTTCTTTGATGTCCTCAGATCCCCTATGTTCAATACTGAGTCCCGAGCTCTGGTGTCTGTGAATTTCAATTTTCGTGAGAAGACACTTGCAGATGGATGTTATAGAAGTAATGATCAGACGAGTACCCTGTCCGCTCGGTTGCAGTGGCCAGCAAACTCAGTTCTCCATGAATATTGTTTAGCGTTGCATGGAATCTCCAACTGATGTTCTGGATTTTTCTATTTAGATTTATATATGTTCTATCCATTTCATTGGAACGAGTTAATTGCGAACGGGGAGATGCTGGAACAACAAAGCTGTACATCAAATTTCATGAAAAGCAAAAGTCCTATTGTTTAAAGCACTTTCAGTTCACGAACTTTATCAAAAGACCAGTAGAAAACAAGAGCTATTTTGCACAAAGCAAAATAAAATTGACATCTTGAGCATCCAGAAGCACATGTTTCTTAATACTTTGTATAGATTTTAGAAGGCAACTTTCTCTAAGTGCCTTTGTATTTCTGTTGAAACTTGACTAATGCATGGAATAATAATGCAACACAAAATGTACTTAGAACAAAATGTATTGAAACAAGAAAGTGTACACAATATTTGCATATAGTCTTTTGTATATTCCTGGTAAGACCGTTCCTGGAGAATTTGTTGACTGAGTCGCAGTCGGGCAGAGTCTCTGGTTGAATCTCTTGATTCCTCCCTCTCTTTCCGGGACCAACCATATTTATATGGTCGGTACTCCACTATGCAAATTAGGTGGATCCTACCACAACAATTTCGCTGTCACATTTTTATCGCCTGATAAAATTCTTATTAGATATTTCAGTTTGGGTCCTTGCTTGATTTAAACTTTGCCCATTCGTAGCACGGAACTTAGGTTTTACTTCTATCTGACAGCCATATTTTCTCTGTTTTTTTTTTTCCACTTGCGGGTTCATCCTTACTTCTGGCTCTCTTTATTAACTTGTCTAGGAATTCCTGCATTCTTCTTTCTGCATCTGACATCAGTGCAATTTTCACCTGCGTATCACATGTTGTTAAGTACGGTGCCCAAAAGGAATTAGTTGGAGATCCACCTGTAATGGAAATTACGCAAAACGAACGAAACTTGGTCTAGATTCAGAAGTCTTCGAAATCGTTGACATTTTTTAGATAAAGAAATATATTTATCGCTAAAACGTAAAAAAACAAAATAAATATATCCCGTCGCAAGAGTGAGCAATTGGCTCCTTTGAATAACACCTTAGAAATGAAAAAGACCTGTTTCTGAGCAAGAAAATGCTGGGTAATTTTACATTCATTTTCACTGAACAATTTTACATAAATTTTCATGGACAAAGTGATACATTGGATGGTAATGAAACCAGACTCCAGAATTTCTTCTTCTTCTTCTTCTTCTTCTTCTTCTTCTTCTTCTTCTTCTACTACTACTACTACTACTACTACTACTACCTCTCTTTTTTCTTCTTCTTCTTCTACTACTACTACTATTACCACCTCTTCTTCTTCTGCTGCTGCTGCTCTGCTTCTTCCTCTTCCTGATTCTTATACTTATTCTCCCCCTGCTCATCCTACTTGTTGTTGTTGTTCTTCTTCTTCTTCTTCTTCTTTTTCTTCTTCTTCTTCTTCTACTGCTACTGCTGCTGCCTCTTCTTCTTCTTCTTCTTCTTCTTCTCCTATTACTACTGCTACTACTTCTGCCTCTTCTTCTTCTTTTTCTTCTTCTTCTTCTTCTCCCCCTTCTGATCCTACTTGTTGTTGTTGTTGTTGTTGTTCTTCTTCTTCTTCTTCTTCTTCTGCTACTGCTGCTGCCTCTTCTTCTTCTTCTCCTATTACTACTGCTACTACTTCTGCCTCTTCTTCTTCTTTTTCTTCTTCTTCTTCTTCTACTACTGCTACTACTATTACTTCTGCCTCTTCTTCTTCTTCTTCTTCTGCTGCTACTCTGCTTCTTCCTCTTCTCATTCTACTTCTTCTCCTTCTACTTCGTCTTCTCCCCCTACTTGTTGTTGTTGTTGTTGTTGTTCTTTCTTCTATTTGCCGTTTTCCTTAAGAACGGGGGTGATCAGGACTCACCACACAATGCACTTTGTATTCCTTAATAAAATATTGGGGCACCTCGACGTGGTCTCGCTATATCTGTTACGACACAGTAGTGAGTTCGATCCTCACTGGGTGCCCCATGCCAACGGCCTCGTGCTACATCTAAGTCACGCTTAGAAAATCACCCTAATAAAATGTTGTCTTTTCGCTATCTCTGCAAACCCTTTACACACGTTCCAGCCTGTCCTGTGCGCGTCAAATTCTCCAAGCCAACTTTCATCAGTATATACCCGAAAAGTTTTAATTGCTTCTTTCTGAGTTAAACTATACGTATCGATTTTGTTTCTATTTCTCACTTGTTCAGCACATAATCGTCTCAGTATCCTTCTTTAGAACCATATTTCTATTGCTTCCAGTCCGGAGATTTTCCAGCATTCATTGCTCTATAGAAGAACCGTTATTATATGACAGTATTTTTGTCTTTGTTTCTAACGATCTTTGTTCTGTTCTTTAGTATTTTGCTTAGATTTTGAAAGGCATCTTCTGCTGTCCAAATCTCCTTTTGATTTTGGTGTCGCGTTTTATGTTCCCTGTTCAAACAATTCCGAGAGAATGTTAATTGTTTGCCCTATCTTGATTTTGGCATCTCCAATTTGTAATTCGTATGTTGGGCTTCTCCTTTTTTGCTGGCAGCCATATATTCTGTGTTCTGACACCTGATGTTAAGTCCTTTGTGCTTGTTTTCCTTCAATAACTTCTGTAGTTTTCTTTCTGACTTTGCTATCAACACTGTGTCATCTGCATACCTAATGTTGTTAAGATGTGGCCCCAAATAATGAATCCTGGTAGGACTTCTAATTCTCCCAGAATGACCTCAATGTATAGAATTAAAAAGTCAGGAGAGAAGACACATTCTTTTTTTACACCATTTTCTATTTTTCTATATTTACCGAATTCACTTTCTATCCGTATGCAGGCGGTTTGCTCCAAGTATAAATTGTGGATTATTCTAATATCCTTCCCAAATATATCAAACTGATGCTAATAAATAAATAATAAATCGTCCCTGCAGCTCAAAATGGCGTCTGTAAAATGGTTACTGTTTTGTTCCTTTTCAAAAGACTGAGACGCACTTCTCTCTATAGGTTGAGCGCTATTTGCTTCCTCGACCACGCAACATATGTTCCATTAATTCCATTTTATTCATTTCCGACTGAAGAATTTAAATTATATTTTCAACATTGCTATTAGAATGGCGTTTCATGTTATTGCCTCTTTAAAGTTGTTTTATTACTGCCGACATCCCTAAAGAGCATGGCGGACGGGCCTGGGCATTTTACCAAAATATGTTAATAAATTGAAAGAGG